CAGGAGGGTGAGGAAATGGAGGCAGGCTTAGGGGACATGGAGGGTATCCCTGGCTGCAGGGGAAACCACATGCACTCCCCTCTCCTAAGAAGCTTTGTAATTGAGCTGAACCACAAAGAAATGGGGTCCCACCCAGTACCTGCAGGGTAGAGCCCCAGGGTTGCTCTCCAGCTGATGTCCCTGTATCAGTTTCCCAGTGAGCACTCCTGGGAGGCCAGAGCTGTGATTAATGGGCTCAGATTTGAAGGAGAGAGGAACTGGGGACTCATCCTGCTCTGGATTTACACCTGTGAAGAGAGACACGGGAAGCAGCAGTCCACAGGCAGCAAGACTCATAAGCCAGCCTGGAAACAGCCAGGGATGCAGCGGGCAGTTTAAGCAGACACTTGGCTGAGCCTATCTATTTCGGGGTGTCTCCTCCTGTAATTTTTCTTACTGCCTGGTTCCTGGTCAGCAGAGGCCGTGTGCCTTGCAGACAGCAATAAACAGAGATTAGTGGGTGGAGGACATAGTGGTAAGTGTGCCTAAGTCTTCCTAAGATAAAATTTACACAATGGTGTGTTTAAGAGGAAGCCTGCTGGTCAGAAAGAAACCTAAGGAAAGGAGTAATTGTACCATGGATGAAGAACGTAAGAAACACAGTGCTCTAAAACACCTCTTTTCAAAAGGAAAGATGTACTGTATTATTTTACCAACGAGTCTGTGACCTGGGCAGACTGTTCATGTTAAATCACGATGTGCCTATTTTCCGGCTCAAGGCATCAGCTCCCAGCTGCTTTACCGATGTGAAATGGAGTATACGATTCTCTGAGACACGCATCTCTCCATGGTCAGATTAGCAGATCTCCACAGTCATGGAAGGGCTAGCAGAAGAAATCCGTGGTGGCTGTTGAACCAGAAGCCAGCTGCAGGAGGAGGATTATACATGAGCGCCACAGTCATCTTCCTCCCTGTTGAGATGCTGTTTTGCTAAGTCTCTATTTGTGCCGTTATTTGTCTCAGCAGAGGGCTGATGTAGTCGTCAGTTGAAGCTATTAATAGCCTTGAGTTTCTGGGAAAAAATGTAGGGCTTGAATGCAAGTATGTTTGTTTGTTTGTGTGTAGCCCTTTTTTGAGGAAAATTCAGCAATAAAAGAACAAAGAGAGAAAGGGGTTTAGCTCTTTATGCATTTTTAGGTGAAGCTTCTTTTCTTGGCCTCTTCATGATTTCCAAGGATGTGTTGCTTTTCTTGTTGCTGAATTGTGGCACACAACTGTGTGAAAGGAAGGTATCCTCTAAACAAGCACTAGTAGAGGAAACCTGTTGTAAATTCTTGGCCTTGGAGACCTAAGAGTGCAATGACGGTGGCAGTGCGCAACTCACGGGCACCGTGCACCTCAGCCAGTTTTGACAGAAACGCTCAGGGCAGGAATTCAATGATAAACACACCTGCAGCACTACAGCTCTACTCCTGGCTTCAGACAGACCAACGCAGAACCAGTCTGAGTATCTAGTTTTTTCACAGCAAATATGTGTAATTCTGTGAACGCTGCCCTGAATGTTTTTAGACGGGGAAGTACGGACAGTATATTGCAGGCATGCATGCGCACTGAGAATAGGTTTTAAGCCACAGAATGCTCTCAAATGCAGCGAATTTTCTTGTAAGGGAGAATATATTACAACTGCAGAGTCTAATCTCTACAGTAACCCAGTTTCAGCTTTCATTTCCTGGGCTAAAATGAGAGATAGGGGACTTCTGTTCTACTTTGGATTTCTGCAATAGCTGTTACCGAGGGGTTACTCTGTCTCTGCCTCCCTCCCCCGGGGCCTGTGCTTATCCTCTTTGCTTTTTCCCTTTGTCAGAGCTCTATCAGCACAGCCCGGCGCTTACAGGCTGAGGTTTATGTTCTACCAGCTCTATTAAAGTCCCAGGGCACTTGACAAGCACAGTGCAGCTTCATTTCAGATGAGCTGCAGTGATTAGTCTTCTGCCCCTCAGGAGGCGAGAGAGGAGAAGGGATAGGACCAGCTATTTTTGTGAATGATATCTATGTCAGAAGAACTAGTTAAGGATAACAACAAAAACTTTATTTGAAAAAATTATTACGTATTGAAAATATACAGTAGTATCATCAACCTTCTTCTTGACTCTATCCCTCCCCAAGCATAGGTTAACCCACGAGCATATCACAGCAACCAGATTTAACAATACTGGTCTCCTTTGTTACTCCCTCTCAATATGTCTAAATTCTGTCATCAGCAAGAAAACAACAAACAAAAGACCCACTTCTTTCTGACTCAGTAGGTATTTAACAAATCCCAGTCCTCCACAGTGAGGCACAGATGCTTCTGTTTGGAAGTCCTTTCTCTCTCTTGTTCAGCCAAAGCTCTTTTTTTATTGTTCGTTAATTCGTGGCTGCCTGCAACCTCCTTTTGCAAAGATAAATGGCAATTTTGAACTTTTTCCTTATAAAACTGCAAGTTTCCAGATGCTTTTGTTTCTGCCTCCACCAGCGTGCATTTGACTACTTCCTCTATTCTGTGTGTCTTGCCATCTACAGAAAAGAAAACCAACCAAGTTTAGATCTTTGGGAAAAACAGAATTATGCTGTAAAATGCACACTTGCGTTGCAAATTGTTTTGGCCAAGCCAACCTAGAAT